TAAGTGGGAGAACTTTTACACAGCACATTCTGTCTCTGGTCTTGGGGGATCCAACTCCAGTTCACTTGGGCTGAGGCTCAAAAGGTGCTTAAGGAAACTGACTGTTAAGTCCAACAAGAGCCTGTAGCCTTTGGTAAGAATGTGAGGTCTAGGGCTCTATATAGCGGTGATAACCAAGCTCCCCCAGGCTTACCTACTCTCTGTGATGCCTCTCCCCTCCCTGGTGCTATTCTTGGGGCTGAATGGGACTCCCATATTGAAAAGAGCATTGCCGCTTACCTGCTCCTCTATACTAGGTTTGATGCAACAAAAGAGGGTTTAGGCACTCCTGGCATGGCTTGAGTTGTCTCCGTCATATAATATGGCAAGTGGTGAGGGGCAGGGGATCCAAATGCTAAAGCAGATTTAATACTTTGAGGATGGAAGAATAGTCAAAGATGCTCAGGCTGCGGGATGGTCTTCACCTTGAAAAGCTAGGCAATAATCCCCCTTCTATAGAGGTGTGGAGAGAAGAACTGGTAGGCTAGAATGGGAGTTGGGCCAAATTAAGTCAAGGTTGGGACCTGAGGCAGAGCTAAGGAGGAAGATTTGAAAGAGAATAAGTGTTTGGTAGTACATCAGTATCCTCTCTAATCCAGACATCACCTGGACTGGGGATGCAAATTCCTGTTTTCTACTCTCTCCTCTTACATCCAGAATAGACATCATTCATGGACCTCTGTACTCTTTTTTACCAAGCCTGGACGTACCCCATCATCTTGAAAATGGTTACAAAGGAGCATTAGGATTTGCTTAGCTTGCAAACGAAATAAAACCTAGCTTCATTAGGAAATGATACCAAATATTTACAGAAAGAGTTTATACCAATTCTACTCAAAGAAAGACTCCCTAACATTCTGTGAAGTTAGCAGCATCCTCATACCAAAATCAAGACATTAAAAAAATGTTCGACCAATCTCCCTCATGAATACACATGCAAAAGCTCTCTAATAGAAGTCTAGTTTATAGAATTCAACGGGATACTAAGAAAATGATCTATCATGATCAAATGAAGTTCATATTAGGAATGAAAGGGTGATTCAATGTTAGAAAAACCAATAACTGTAACTTACTATGTAAATAAAAAGAACCATGGGATCATCTCAATTGATGCAAAACCAAAAGAAAAGGGGGAAAAAAATTTTCTATTAAAAAAAATCAGTTTTTTATTTAAACCAAACAAACATTTGAAAAACTTCAACAACAATGCCTGCTAAAAATGCTCAAACAGAAGCAGAAAGGAAATTAAGGCATACATGCAAAACTAATAATCCACATTAACCTCAACGGAAAAAGACTGAGGGCCTTCCCCTTGAAAACAGGCATGTGCCAAGGATGCCCATTATCATTCAATATGGGACTGGAAATGAAATAGAACTAAGGCAAGAAAGAGAATAAAAGTATATAAATCGAAAAGAAAGAGTGGAGGGAGGGGTGGGTAAAGGAAAGGGGAAAGATAATGATGGGAAAGACAATGCATATAAACATTGTAAGTAAAACAGTACAAAATAAAAAAAATAACGATTCCTATTTGCAGACAGCATGATTCTGCATAAACAAAACTCCAACCCCAACCCCAAAATGTCCACAAGAAAGTCTGTGGATCTAACTGAAGAATTCAGCATTGTTGCAGGATATGAAATTAACACACACACATACTCTTTCTTTTTTTCCAAAGTTTCTATACACAAATAGGGAAGAATTTGAAAATAGAATTCGGAAAACAGTATTATTTAAATAGTCTCCAAAATGATATAATTCCCAGGAATATACCTAATCAGAGACACAAAAAACTTATTAAAACACTTAAAAAAAAAATAAAAGAGAGCTACATAAATGGAAGTGCATTCCCTGCTCTTGGACTGAAAGACTTAATATTAGGAAAATGTCAATACTGTTCAAAGCCATTTATAGATATAATGCAATTCCTATTCAAAGCTCAAAACTGTTCTTTATTGAAATAGAAAAAAAAGTCATCAACTTTACACAGGCGGGAACAAGGCTCCACCTGGGCAAAGTAATACTGAAGAAAAAGAACAAGGTGGAAGCCGTACACTTTCCAATTATAAAACATAGGGAACAGCTATAAGGAGTGTAGTCTGTAGAAGTTTTACTGCTTTCTCCTAACTGTAATTTGCAACCTTTGAAAACTCACTAGAGATTCAGCCATGAGTTGGTCTGACTCCCCAGCAATAATGAGAGTATGAGTATGTATATAAATACACACACACACACAGAGACAGATACAGATTAGATATATCTATCTCTATCTCTATGTAGCTATATGGAGTTCTGGTGGTTTCTTGTGTGCCTGAGTTGGAGCCAATCCATAGCTGACCCTCTGCATGAATCCACATGGAGTGGCTGGTGGACTATGTGCCTTTGGGATTGCAGCACAGCTTTATACCACTAGGCCATCAGGGCACTGCCAACACAGAAGGTATGTGGTTCCAATCTACTAGCTGCTCTGAGGGAGAAAAATGGGTAATCTCTGGTGCAACTGACTGTCTTTGAAAATCCGCTAGAGGGTTAGTTGTGGGTTGGTTCCAACTTGACAGTACATACAACAACACACACACACATACACACTTGTAGCTAGCTAAGTGTATATAGACTTGTGTATGTACATATGCATGTACATATACTCACACATACTTATAAAATCCAACAGGCATGGTTTTCTGGTTTTGAAGGTCTGTGGGACAATCTGACCAACTAGCATCATATAGTTCACACCCTAGTTTAGAGAGTAGTTCTAGAGTCTTGTGGGCCACTCTAAGATACAACCATTGGTCTCTGCTTGTCTAGAACTAAGAGCAAGGACACAGGAAAGAAACTAGCTACTGAATTAACAGCTGACATGACTCACAGTTTTAGCTACACGGTGCTCACAATTAGATGGTATACAACTACCACCACTAACGATCATTCTGATCAATGTTACAACAGATGGATTCTGATAGAAGGGGAGAAATCTGGGGACTAGAATTCACTGTTTAAAAGTACAAACTTATAGGACTGCTTTAGACTAGAGAACTCCCTCAGACGACAGCCCTAACATTTACTATTAATCATGACTACCCTGAGGTGACCTTTTGGTTACATAACAGACTGATTCGTAAAACAAGCGGTATTACCAAATGAGTATTACACACCTAAAAAAATCATCTCTATGAGATCAAATAGTTAAGAATTTCTATAAAGATGAAAAGGCTAAGAGGAGAGGAAATCCCGGTGACTGGACGTGAAGCATCCAGAAAGAGGGAATCCAGGAGGATGTTGACACATAGTGAACACACAGGAGCAGTGTTTCCCTCAACAATCTATGTGCAATCACTGCTAAATGAGGACCTGATTTGCTATGTAAACTTTACCCAAAACAATAAAATACTGTTAGAAACAAACCCTCTCCTGGCTTTTCCTGCATCTGTATTTATCCACATAGTTTATGAGTGAGGAAAATGTAATAATGATGCTGTAATCTATCACAAACTGGATGTTTATGGAGGTCAATACCCACATTCTAAGAACTTTACGTATAATACCAGCTGCTTTCGACCTTAAGTCAACTTGTGGCCAGCCCGTGTGTGTCAGTGCAGAACCGTCTGTCACAGGATTCTCAATGGCTTATTGCTTGGAAGGAGACTGCCGGGCCTTTCTTCCAAGGTGCCTTTGGTTGGACGTAAAATTCCAATGTCTCCTGAGAATTTTAACCATTTGCTCTTTAACCATAACCCAGGAACTCTCTATATAAGAACTCTTCTTAATTCTCACACCAACTCCCTGAAGCAGGGCTAAAAGACTGTATTGGAGAGGAGATTGTGGTACAAAGAAGCAAATTTCCCAAGATTACACACCTAAGAAGTGCTGGAGCTATGATTTAAACCTGGACAGCTCTACTCGGGAGCCCACGCTCTTACCCACTCAAGTGACTCTGTTCCCATGTGGACACAACTCTGCTTTATAATCACTTTGAGCAAAAAACAATCCAAAGGAGCACATGAGTTTCAGAATACTATGTTTGTAGAATCATTCAATTCCAACATTTACAGGACATTAAATCCTCTCTCCAACAAGGACACTAGCACGTTCTAGGAGACGATAACGGGAAGTGTACAATCACCCTTGTAAACTTGCCAAATCAGAGTGTAAGAGCTTTTATGAAAAGTTTCAGAAATGTGGCTCACAGGGAAATGGTTTATGGTCAAACTGCCTTTTGATCTCTCATGTGAAAAATATGTACTTACATATATTGCAGGAAACCTCACTACTTCCTTCCTAAGTGTCGGTCAAAACACTAATTACTTGACTAATTAGACTGTTAAACTTCCCTTACAATGGCAAAAAACGAGCTATTTTCACTCTAAATTTAGTTGTGACATATTACCAAAAAAAATGTGGAAATGTTTCAATGGTTTCATTGAACAATTTAAACAAATCATATAAAAATAAGCTAGAAACTAATGAAAATCTGTTCTCTCATGGGGGAGGGGAAGAACCCAATTCTGTAGGAAGAAAGCTAATGAGAGTCTGCTGACAAATAACATCATGTTGGTGGAGCATAAGGCCAAATATCGTACACCTTTTCCATGAAGGAGGACATCTCAAGTAAGCCAGCTAGTCTGCATTTAATTTGTGATGTTCTAGTACTTTATTTTCATCCTACTTAAAGCCACAGACTTTAATCCTTTGATCCTTCTAGTTTTCCTTAGTCCCTATAGGGAGAGAATCTGTTGTGTTCACCTCAGAGCCAAGAAAGCCATGGCTTCCCCTTAGGTCTGCATTTGCAGTGACTCCAACAGTCATATCAGCACATTTAACAGAAGTATTGTGTGAAATGGAATCTAATATGAAGTTCTGAAAAGGTCTCTCCGAAACTCATGTGTGCTCCGTGGGGTTGGGTATCAATGTCCCTGGTTGGGGCTGAGGGACATGGAGATTTCACATGAAGAGATACTCACCAGCATCGAGGCTGCCAGTGGCCGCTGTCCAGCCCATCACCGGTGGGATGGCCCCAACCACTGCTCCGACCCATGTGTTCACTATGCTGATCCTCTTCAGTGGGGTGTAACAGCAGGTGTACAGGAAAATGTTGAAGGCTCCCAGGAGCCCTGTGAGTGGATTTACCCCCCAGGCCAGCAGAGCAACTCCTGAAACGGCACAGCAAGTGGCAAAGGACACGGCGAACAATGGACTGGAAAAGAGCAGAGAAGACAGAGCCATTATTCTCAACTCCCCGCTCAGCCTGGAGCCTGCACTGGCTGAGATGGAGCAATCAACGTAGGCAGCGGGACACTCAGGGAGGTGCACTCACGAGGTGGCCACCTGGTTGTAGGAATCTTCTTTTTAAAACATAAAATAGCAGGAAGTTGTGTTTGGAGGAGTCTTGTTTGCCCTACTTGGTTTTACCAGTAGGAAAAAGTTGTTGAAAGCTGTAAAAGAGAGCCCCTGGATCTGAACACAGTGTCTCTACCTTCCTGGTTGCCTGATGTCTTGGCTGCACTTTGCTCATCTGTATAAGACAGATGACAATCTTTTCCTCATGAGGAACTCTGATGGCGTCCACAGGAATTGAGCAGCTAAGCCAAAGGCCAGGTCTCTCTGGTTGGAGGGTTCAAGTCCCAGGTGATCCACGGGAGAAAGATGGGCAGTCTCTGCCCGCACAATTTACAGCCTCAGAAAACCCACTGGAGGGTCAGCTAGAAGTCTGCTCCAATTTCATAACAATAAGTATAGGGTTAAAACAAGACTAAATATATGTCTCCCATATATTGTGCAAAGTTATGTTTTCTAAAATTAGTAACCATTTGGTAGATGCTGACTTGTGGTGACGCCAGGTGTATCTAAGAGGCACTGTTCCCCTTAGGGTTGTCAAGGACTGACTTATCCATCACGTATCACCAGGTCTTTCTCCTTAGGTCCCACAGGGTAGATTAAAATCAGAACCTTAACTTTCTGCATCACCTAAGGACTCCTAAACTATTTGAAACACAATACTCTGGAAAACACAAAGATCTGGGCTAAGAAAAGAGACAGAGCTCAATTTTGGAGACAGTACCATCATTTACACTGTATTACAAAAAGCCACCTAGTGGGTAAGGAGTTATGCTGCCAGCCCAAAGACAAGTGGTCTCTGAAAACCCAGTGGAGGATCAGTTATGAGTCCATTCCAACTAGATGGCACATAACCAAAACAACAATGACAATATGATGCCTCGGTGAGTGCCATCAACCTCACTACCACTCACAGTGACCCTGTGAATGACAGATGTGAACCCTGCCTTATCCTACACCACTGATCATATGCTCAAGCCCACTGTAATAGTTCTTCGGTCCATCTCATTGAAGGTCTTCCTCTCTCTGAACCACCATCTTTCCCCATGTGATTGTCTTCTCTCAAGGACTGGCTCCTCTGACAAAATTCCCAAAGTGTATGAGACGGACTTTCACCATCCTTCACCAGGAGCACCTGGGTTGTATTTCCAGCAAGACATATGTATCTGTCCTTAGGATTATCATAGGTCATTCAATACCCTTCTCCAATACCACACTTTAGAGGCATTAATTCTCTGTATTCCTTATTCATTGTCCAACTTTCAGATGTATAGGAAGTAACTGAAAACCAAGGTTTGAACCAGGTGCAACTTAAGTCTTTTTTTTTTTCTTCTTTTCTTGTTGTGTACCGTCAAGTCGGATCTGATCAGCACAGGAGAAGATTGTCCCTTCTTCTCCAGCAGAGCATCTGGTGGGCAACTTAAGTCTTTAAACAGACACCCTTGCTCGTTAGCACTTCGGAGAGGTCCTTCTTTGGCAGCAGATTTTCCCAATGCAACATATCTTTTGGCTTCTTTACTGTGGTGTTACCATGAGTGTTGATTGTGGGCTCACATAAAATGAAATTACAGATGATTTCAATCTTTTCTTTATGCTTTTGTTCTCTATTGGTCTAAAGAGGAAGCTTTCTGTTTTCTTCATGTTGAGTTATAAAACATATTGAAGGCTGTATTGTCTTTCATCTTCTCAGTGAGTGTTTCAAGTATTCTTTTGGCAAGTGAGTTCATGTCATCTGCATAGTATGGGCTGTTGATGAGTCTTCCTCCCAGTTCTAACGCCACATTCCTCCTCATATAGTCCATTTTCTGGAATGATTTTCTCAGTGTATAGACTGAATAGGTAGAGAATGGATACAACCTTGAGGCAAACCTTTCCTGATTTTAAATCATGCACTGCTCCCTTGTTTGAACAACAGCTTTTTGGTCCATGTATAGCTTTCCCAAGAGCATAAATAAATGTTCTGGGGCTCCCATTCTTCTGAATATTATCTACAATTTCCTATGATACACACTGTCAAAGACCTTTGCATAGTCGATAAAACACAAATAAACATCTTTCTGGTATTCTCTGCTTTCAGTCAAATCCATATGACATCAGGAATGGTATTTCTCCTGCTATGGCCTCTTCTGAATCCAGCTTGAACTTCTGGCAGTTTTCTACTGATATACTGTTCTAGTAATTTTAAAATAATTTTCACCAAGATTGATTTGGATGTAATACTAATGAATACTAATGTCCTCACCACATGTGAAGATAATTAGTGTCATCATTAACCTATCTTTAATAAAGCAGAGGTTCATCATGGTCCCAGTTACACATGGACATTATAACAACACATGAATAACATAGCTACATATGGACAACATCAACAGCAAAACCCCAGGGGACTTTTCAGTGGTAACACCACAATTTTATTCTGCTGTCTTCATTAACCTGCGTAGAGCCATGAGATTTGTACGAGGAGGTATAATAATGTCATAGATTTAAATTAAAATCTTAAATAAAACTCTACAATGTCAAAGATGACTATAGGTTTGATTCTCAAACAGTCTGCTTTTCAAAGTAGCTTTTGTGTGGCATCTTGTGAAAAGACTTTTTGAGTCTAGATTATTGGATCTACTACTAGCTCCTGCTTATAATCATGTGTATTTCTTCTTTCTTAAGAAATGCAAGGTAGGTCCTCAGGCCTGCTTTCTTCTTAGAGGAACCATAATACCTTCTCTGTTTTCATAGTGTTTGCTGATACTCTCCTAATTAAAGGCTGTTTAACATGCTTACTGGGAGGAAAAAGTCCCCAGTGTGCAACTTCTCAGGTGTTCTGGCTTTTTCCCGAAGGAAGACAATCTTCACCCTCCATGCCCTTTCAGTCACAGGGCTGCAGTGTTCACACACAGGAGTGAAGCCCTGTTTCTACAAGGTTTCCTGTCCAGGAAAAGGAATACTGTAGAAATAAGACAAGTTTAAACTCCAGAGTCCGTGGTGCTTCAAATAGTTAACAATGCAAAGGCTGAAGGTTCAAACTGACACAGAGGCACCTCTGAAGAAAGGTCTGGTGATCTGCTTCACTGAGAACTCCACTGAATGGTCCTACTCAGATCCACATGAGTGACCATAAGTCAGAGCTCAACTGGGAAAACTGATAGAACTTAGCCAGGACTCAGCTATGGAAGGGTAGAGGAGCTTAGAAGCTAAAAACCTCAGGCCAATGGTGATAAAAGTTGAAAGCTGGACGTGACATCATACATTTTGGGCTCCCATTGATATATGACTAGCACCAATTACTCTCAGGTCTGTGACCACTTGGCCCACACAGATGGAACCAGAAAGGACAGTAGTTCTGAGGGGAAAGAGAATGTGCAAATGATATGAAGTTGTTAAGACACAGTGACAGAGCTCCATAATAAAATCCTGGAGAGTCAGTGAATATTCAACTCTACCTGTAAGTTTCTATTTCTCTGTTCCTTGGTTACCTCTCATTATCCTTGTGGACAATGACGTCCACAATACCCCCTTCTAGGATACTCTTCCCCCTATCTCTCCTTCCCCATTTCACCGTAACAATCCCCATTTCTGAATTATTCTTTGCATGTACGAAAGCCTTATAAATATACCAATTGGTCTCCTTTCAAGAGAATGGTTTACCAGTATTGGTGCTTAGCTGAGTAGATTTCTTTCCTCACGCCTCATAATGACTATTTTAACTCCTCTCCTACCACCCTCAACAGATGCACCCCCCTTCCAAATAGAATGAGGAATCTCATCTTTACTTTCTTGCCTTTGTCCTACTTTAAGGGAAGAAGTCATTTTCTTTGGTTTCAAGATGATCTCTTCACAACTGGTCTTGATTTCATCTCCTCCCTGATTAGTCTGTTCCACCTTCATTATTTCTTTCCCACTTTTTATTTTTTCCATTGTCTACTGATTGTCTACATCCTCAAAACACTACTTTGTAGATATTTCTTTCAAAGAATCATTCCTTTTTGCTGCTACACTTAAAGCCAAACATCCTGATGGAGTGAGTAGATAACATGTGCTGTCTCCATTTCCTCAATATCTAATTTCCTTTTGCTCCTCAACTTTATCCCCCATCACCTTATTGAAACATATTTCTTTAAAGTTAGTGATGTCCCAGGGACCTGGAATCATGTTACTTGGGATCACCTAGCTTCGTAATACAGCACACAACATAATTTTCCAGCCAAAAGATTAAAAAGATGTTTGTCTTCCTTTATCTCACGTATGTCCAGCAAGAAGAATTTAGATGGCTAAAAGCAGTGTAACTATTATAACTATTGTTCTTCTATTTAATAAGGTAGTTTATAGCTTTTAAGAACAGACTCTTTCCCCATGACCAAGGGACTCTAAAAAAAAAGTTACAGGTTTATTTTGGGTAAGAGAAAAATGTGGCTCATAAACATTTTTCTTTTTCCTGAATTAATCTTTGTGTAAGGAAAGGTTGTTCACGCCTTCTGCAAGGTCTGTGGAAGTCAGTGTGTTCAAAGGTATTAGTGCTATGAAAAGCTCTTTTAGGAAAGCACACATGAATTTAATTTCTTGAGATGGGCAATTTTATGTGGAAGTTTACTTTCTGGCCCTTGTCAGAATCACAGAAAATCAGGAGGCCCAACTTTGGTGTTTAAAAGCAATTTGCTCAGGGGCATGCATGGAAATTAGGTAGCTTGACAAGCCACATACACACAAATGAGGATTTTTATCCAGGTAGCCATGATCACTCTCAGCATCTGAAGGAACCCTCTTTCCTACTGTTACAAGGGACCCTAAATTAGTAAACTGTAGGGTCTTCTTTGCTTTGAAGAGCAAAGGTTCTCCAAACGCAAACTGTGTGAAGCTTGTCTTTCT